AATGGTTCTCTTCTCGTGCTGTCGCACTTTCTTCCCTTCTTTTTCAGAGTCGTCGTCGTCCAGTACCAACAGCACCAACTACACCAATGACGACAACAGCATTACAATTAAATAATAATTATATGAATGTTCAACGGCAATATCAACCTCGTCGAAATTATAATCAACAACAGAATAGAACAAGGTCAGTAACACTTTTTTCAAATAATATTAATAGTACTCAGCCATTCTCAGTTACATCAGATAGAGTAGTAGAACAAGTAAATAGAAATAATAGAACACATCCTAATTTTCCATCGAGATCTTTAATTAAATATTATCCACATAAGTTAAGGACTAAAGAACAATTTCTTAGAGATAATGAACCACCAAAAGAATTAGAAAAAGAAAAAGATAAGATATTTTTAATAGCAAATATTTATTACCAACAGAGACATTTTGAAGAAGAAAGTAAAAAATGGAAAATATATGAACAGGTAGCTAGTAGTAAAGAACAAGATTTAGATAAGGACGGAGATGATATAAGAATGAGAGATATTGAAGAAATTCCACGAGCAAGACCTTTTTCAGAAAGATACTCAAAAATATTAAATATGACAGTTAGTGATACAGATAGTCAGAGTAATGAAGATAGTAATATAGAAGATAAGGATAAGGATAAGGATAAGGATAAGGATAAAGATAAGGATAAGAACAAGGATAAGGAAAAGAATAAGGATAAGGATAAGGATAAGGATAAGAATAAGGATAAGAGTAAGGAAGAGTCTAGTGATAGTAACATCAATAGTACATCAGATAGTGAGAATAGTAATAGTGAAGAAGAAGAAGAAGAAGAAGAAAATAAGAAAAGAAAATTACAAGATACGAGTCTTTCACCATCATCCAAGAGAAAAACATCAGAAAAAGATAATATTTTAAGAAAGAAGAAAACGAAATCAAAAAAGAAAAAGAAAATTTCAATTGAGAACGACCCACGAGCACCAGAAGGAAGTCCTATTTTATTAATTAATGAGAATAGTAATAAAGAACAAATAGATCAGATACCTAAGAAGACAAGAGCAGATACACCAGTAGATAAAAAAGAAAAGCATCGTCCATGGAATGCGCATGTGCATGTAAGAAAACCACAAAAAATTAGAATTCAACGAGAGGAAATATTTGATGGACAAATTCAAGATTCATCCACTGAGCTTCCGAAAACACCACCAGGTTTAAATGATCCACCACCAATCAGTCCACGACAGAGCACACCGAAAACACCTATTCCACCACCTCAGCCATTAGTTTATAGTCCCAATCCTATAACATCAAATACTAAAAATGAAAAAGAAAAAGATAAAGAAAATAATAATAGTAATTCGCCTATTGTAGTACCTCGAATAAGATCAACAATTGAGATAGAAGAACAAGACCATCAAATGGAACAAGATAGTATCCCCCATTCACCATCAGTTATTCCAAAAGATTCTGAAATTAATAGAATAAATTTATTTGACTTTCCAGTAATTCCGATAGAATGTAAATTTCATTTTGAGATTTTTCATTTAAGAGCAAGCATAGAAAATATTAAATTACATAGAGAATATTTAGAATATTTAGAAAAGAAATCGAAACAACAAGAAAAAGAATTAGAAGAAATTATGAAACAGTTTGAAGGAGATACACATAGAAAAATAGTACAATTTGTTAAGAATAGTATAGATCCATTAATAGATAGTTTAAAAATTTCGAATCAGAAACGTTTAGATAACCTTATATTAGACCAGATGAAAGAGAAAGCTTTAAGAACAATAAGAGAGAAGAGTAATAAGGATAGTTTAAGATTAATAGAACGAGCACAAGAAAGATTTGAAAGAACATTAGAATTAAAGTTTCAGTTAGATAAGTTAGATCGTAGATTTAATGAGAACATGCCCCCACCAGCTTTGAATGTTATGGATAAATTACAGTTCCGTAGTAAAGAGTTAAGTAATGAGGTTAAAGAACAGTATAGTGAGCAATGGAATAATATTTTGAGAAAGACTAAGTTAGACTTAACATCAGTAATGAGAATAGCAAAAGTTAGTGAGATAGATAAGAGTGAGAAAGAACATGTAGAGTTAGTGGAGAAGATACCCGTAGAAATAAGGCAAGCATATAGAGATTTAGTACACGTAATAGAAATTAGAAATAATAGAAAAGTACAAAAGAAATTAGATTTTTTAGAGAAAAAGGGAATAAGAATAATAGGAAAATAGCTAGAGCAATAGAAAGGAATAGTAAGGTTAAGAATTTACACTCACATTATACCCCACTAGGATTTCCCCCTCAAGTTAATAATAAAGTATTAGATTTAGGAGAAGAAGAGAGAAGAATTTTAAATTATGGACCTAAATTCGTACCTGAGAATCCAAAACAGGCCTTAGATAGATTAGAAGAAGAGATTAGAGTAATGAAAGATAAGGTAGCCGAAGCTTGGAGAAGAGAAACTAGAACAATAGGTAGAAATCCGGAAAAGGTAGAAGAATTTGCGCAGAGATTAGAAGAAGAATTAAGGAATAAGATAAAAAAAGGAAGAGTACAAGACCCAGTAGTTGAGAAAACCTTAGAACATTTTCAAAAGGAACAAAAAAAGGGTAAGATTATTTTCAGACAAACGGATAAATCCAAAGTATTCCACGTAGATAGGCCTGAGACATATATAGAGAAGTCAATAGCTTATATGAGAAAAACAGATGCCTACCAAGAGATAGAAGAATCACCATTAGTTAGTATGATAGAAAAAACAGAAGAATTATTAAGAAATTTAGTTAGTAGAAAATTATTACCCGGGAAATATTTTGAAAAATTGAAACCAGACCCCAAAGATGCCGAGTTACCCCATCTTTATTATAATCCAAAAGATCATAAGGTAGGAGAACCACTTAGACCAATTGTTTCGGGGATGAAATCACCAACACAAAAAATCTCGGCTTTTCTAGATCAAATTATTCGTCCCATTTTTGATAAATTAACCCCATATAGTTTGAGAAATAGTATAGAATTTTTAAAGGAATTAAAAAATCATAAGACTACAAACCAGACTCTTGTATATACATTCGATATAACGGATTTATATACAATGATACCCCAACAAGAATCGATCTTAGCCATTTGTGAGATGTTAGGTGAGAATAGAATAAATAAGGTTAATGGAGAGATACCCATCAATACGATAAGGACCCTCTTTAGACATGTATTAGAAAATGCGTATTTTGCTCTACAGTTACCCGGTGAGAAAGTTAAGTACTATAAGCAAGTTAGAGGAGGACCCATGGGATCAGAGTGTACTCAAGTCTTAGCAGATGTTTATATGAGAAAGTGGGAAAAACAGTTTAAGGTAGATCAGGATAAGGAAGGAGAGTTATATTTTAGATTTAGAGATGATATTTTTATTACTAGTAAGAAGAGTAAGGATGAGATAGATAGGATATTAACTGAATTAGGTAAGAAAGACAAGAATATAGGATTAACTTTTGAGACAGGCTCACATGTAGATTATTTAGATGTAAGAGTAGAAGTAGAAATTCCCAACTTTAGAACTAAGGTTTATAGAAAGTTAGCGGCACAACCTTATATCCTACCGTTTAACTCAGCACACCCTCCTCATGTAATGAAGAATATTCCCTTCTCAGCACTTTTACGAGCAGTAAGAATATGTTCCCATAGAGAAGATTTAGAAGAAGAGATTGAGAAAGTTAGAATAACCCTACTTTTGAATAAATACCCGCCTAAATTTATAGACAAACATTTTCAGAGATTTTTTGAGACATTAACTGAGAAAAAGGATAAAAATTTACTTCTTAGCGAGAGACATAATGAATATAGAAAAAAAGTCTTAGATGAAGGATGGAATAAAAAAGAGAAACCCGGGATAAACTTTAGTAGAGATATTATGGTCCACTTCACGTATACCCCCAGTTTAGCACGTTTCGGGTCAAAGTTTCATCAAATTTGGCAAGAGATCTTTGAAGAAACCCCACTTAGCGATATCCCAATTATTTTTGCGCATAGATTAACGGATAATTTAAAAAAGATACTAGTTCATAAGAAACCACCTAAGACAGCAGTTAAGGCACTAGTAGAAGAGTTAGAACGAGAATAGAATAGAATAAGTTAATAGATGTCCCCTTCCCTCTTTTTTTGTTTTCTATTTTTAGTGTCGTCGATAAGATCGACGATAACAGCGAAGGACCTGGCCGATATTGTTTTTAGTTCTTCGTTCTGTTTTGTTGTTTTTTTATTAAGTTATTTGTAATATTTATATATTTTTGTACGTGTAATATTTTTTGTGATAGGGTTGAGAAGGCTGCTCCTCTGAGATAGGGTTGAGTGGCCAGTTGAGTAAGTTTTTTCTAATCTTTTGAGTATAGAATGTTAGTTTTGAGTCGTTGAGTATTTTTTCTTTACTTGAGCAACTCGCTTTTCCCGCACCCACACCATTGAGATTGAGCTGTGAGAGATATAGTCAGAATAGTACGACATCTATGAGAGTAATGACCCCTATATGAGAATAGTGACCCCCATAGAACAAAGGAATTTTTCTTATTGGACGAGTATAGAGAACAATAGACGAGAGCAAAGAGAGGAAAGGAAGGAAAGAATAGATAGTCATTCATAGCCTGAAGAAATTCGAAACGCGTCGCTTCTTATTGTCAAAGTTATTTATTGTTATTCAATAAAATTCAATAAAATTACATTAAAATTATATAAAAAATTATAAATTAAATTAAATTTATTATTACAAAAAAAGTTTGCTCTCATTTCTCTAAAGATATAGCTTTTTTCAAACCAAAAAAGTTAAACAAATTTCTTTTTTTCTTGACTCCTAAAACAAGTTGTTTATTTTCTATCCTAAAAATATTTATTTCATTCAATTTTTCTCATATAAAAACTATTTATTTCATTCATTCATTTTTTCTCATATAAAATTACTTATTTCATTCATTTTCTTACATAAAATTATTCATATCATTTATATCTCCACATAAAATTATTTATTTCATTTGTTTTTCAATCTAAAACATTTATTTCCTTACATAAAACGATTTATTTCAT